CCTGACAGCACAGTGATGTTAGCCCCGTGAGACTGTTCAGACTTCTGAGCTCCAGAATGATAAGAGAATGAATGTGTGCTGTTTTAAGCCACTAAGTTTGCAGTAAATTGCTGCAACCACAATGAAAAGTTTATAAGGTTTGTTTGACTGTTTCTTTATCGGGACAGAGTCTTACTCTGTCGCCCAGGCTGGAATGCAGTGGCTCTATCTTGGCTCACTGCAACCTTCGCCTCCTGGGTTCAAGTGATTTTCCTGCCTCAGCCTCCCAAGTAGGTGGGATTACAGGCACGCGCCACCACACCCATCTAATTTTTGTATTTTTAGTAGAGACAGGGTTTCACCATGTTGGCCAGAGTGGTATTGAACTCTCAACCTGAGGTGATCCACCCACCTTGGCCTCCCAAAGTGCTGGGATTACAGGCATGAGCCACCAGGCCTGGCTTACTAAGGTATGTTTTAGAGTGGTCGTTGCTTTAGGGGAACAAGTTCAGGTGAAGAAGGTCCAGGATGGACTGGGCAGGCAGAGGTCTCGCATTATGAAATAGGGGGCTTTACATTTAACAATGTTAAGATGAAAAATTTTATGTTACATGAATTACACTACAATTTTAAAAAAAAGAAAGAACGAAAGAAATGAATACAAGGATTCCAAATGGGAGGGGCAGGGAGAACCAGGCGTGGAGGGAGTGCCACCTGGGAGCAGGTGTGGGAGTGGGCCGGGCAGTTGCCCGAAGGGCAGTCCACGCTGAGCAGAGGGCAATGCAAAGTCCTGAGGCATGGAGATATCTGCAGGGCTCTGAAGACCAGTGAGGAGGCCAAGGGTGGGGGTAGGAACTGAGCAAGCCAGGCGGTAGATTGGAGGACAGCTGGCCAGACTGCACAGGACTCTAGGCGTCTGTAGTGACTTGGTTTTACTGAGAGAAAAGGGGCACTTTTGGAGGGTTTGGAGCAGAGGAGGGACATGAGTAGCGAGGTTCTGAAGGATCACTCCAGCTGCTCTGCTGTCAGGAGCCATTTGGGAGGTGGGGACAGGCACAGAGGACCAAGTAGGGCAGGACTGCAATCACCCTGGCCAGGAGGACAGTGGCCTAGAACCAGGGTCGGGTACTAGATGACAGTGTGGTCAAATCATAGATATTTTATTTCTAGTCCAAAGAAGAGATAAGAAAGAGGTCCTGCAAATAGGTGATTTTTTTTTTTAATTCTTCACAGCCTTACCACACAACCTCTAAACCTTCAGTAAAGTTGGCTACATTCACAAGTAGCTGGTGTCACTTTGGTGGGGGCTTTGTAAGGAATTGGGCACGGTGTCTTTTAAGGAAGACTCAGGAGAAGAGTTGGTCTTCCAGTTGCGGAGGGAATGGAGTTGCAAGAAGAAAACAGAGAGGTTGAGCGACACGCAGTGGGAACAGGAGCTCAGCGGACAGGAGCTCCGGGCCTCGAGAGGGCAGGACGATAGTGCCGTGTTTGCACAGAAACCAGGCAACAGAGGGCACCAGTACCCACCAGACAGGAGGTAGGGCCACTGTCACAGCCAGGCCAGGACCTGCAGAGCCCTAAACCCTGAAAAAAGGTGGGGTCCCCCACCTACATATTAAAGAAAACATGTGTGTGCCATTACATGCTGGTGTCCAACAACTGCTAAAATTACATTAAATCCTTTCTAGAATTTTGTGGCTGGGACTTGAGCCTGGTCTTGGTCCGTTTACTGATGACGAATCTAGTACTGAACTGGACCCAGTTCCTGACAAGGAGCCCTGTCCTAGAATCACTCACACATGACAGTTGACAGGTGGCCCCACCGGGTTTGCATGGTGAGTGGGTGTTCTGCTAGGCCGACCTCTCCACGCCCAGGGGTTTCTGCTCCTCAGAGAGTTTGCCCAGAGACTCTGAGGAAGAAAGCAGTCACCTCAGGCCTGTACATCCTAGAGATGGCAGAAGGACAAATATCTCCTGCTGGCACAAGGTAGTAGGGTGGAGGGTGGCCGGTGTTCCAAACACCAGTGCAGAGGGAACGTGTGTGTGTTTGGGAGTGAAGGAGGAAAGCAGGGGCTCGGGTGGTGAGAGAACCAGGGGCAATGAAGTAAAAGTGGCATTGGGGGAGCTGCTGGGGGTGTGGGGGCGGGGACGCTGGATAAGGCAGGGAGGACAGGGGTGGCTCTGCGGGTCCTCTGCCTCCACACCAAACACTCAGGGATCCATGCCTCCCGCCAGTCTGGAGTCCCAATCGCCCCTCTCTCCAATTTGGGGGACAGGGATTTCTCCTTGTTCTCCTGCCCTAACTCCTTCTTTCCAACTTCTCTTGTCCCATTCTCCCTCTGATCGTCCCCTCCATTTATGCCAAGGCTTCCACAGCCTCGCTCTGCCGGGCCTTGGCATTCCCAGCCTGGGTGTTGAAACCATTGGCCCGGATCTCAAGGCAGCTGGGCAGGGAGAGGATAGCTAGAAGCCCAGGGCACACTGCCACAAAAAGGCTGTGACTCATTTTCAGGAATTAAAAACTGCAGCCCAAATTCATTTTGAAACTTTCATCTCTCTTGGGACTATAGGCTGAATTTTCTTTATAGCAACGGGCTTCCGGGGACTACATGTAATTATTGGTTCCTCTTTCCTTATCATCTGCTTCTTACTTCAATTAAAACTCCACTTCAGCCGGGCATGGTGGCTCACTCCTGTAATCCCAACACTTTGAGAGGCTAAGTAGGGAGGATTGCTTGAGCCCAGGAGTTTAAGATCAGCCAAGGCAATGTGATGAGACCCGTCTCTACACCAAAAATTTAAAAATTAGCTGGGTGTGGGGGCTCACGCTTGTAGTCCCAGCTATTCTGGAGGCTGAAGTGGGAGGACCTGTCTCTTATACACATCTAGATGTGTATAAGAGACAGGCTCATGCCACTGCACTCCATCTGGGCGACAGAGCAAGACCTGGTCTCAAAAAACAAAGCAAACAAAAATCTACTTCATATGTAACCATGATTTCAGTTTGGAAGCCACTGCCTGAAGCTGACATTTTGCAGTTGGAATATGGCTATTCCTTCCCATCTTCAGGTTGGCTCAGGCCAACCTGGGATTCAGGACCACAGAGGAGAACAAGGGTGGAAGGGCCCCTTTCTCCTTTCTGTGTGTCCTTCCCAACCTATCTGCAGCTCTTTCTTTGTCTTCAGTGTTGGGTCTGCATCCCAGATGTCAGGACCCATGTACAGGCCTGGTGTGCTCCTTCCTGTGATTCATCAGACTTGTAGAAAATATTGGCAAGGAGCTACTCCCCGGTCATATCACACATGCACATGCACACACATGCACCCACACGCGTGCATGCACACACACACACACACACCGATCTTGGCCCACCCCCCTTGGTGTCCCCACAGCAGCAACATTTGTAGGGCGGTAGCACTGAGTCCCCCTCTGTGCACTCTTAGGTCCTGGGTGTGTACAGAACAGGCTCCACTCAGGACAGATTTGAGACCCCTTCTCCAGACCAAGAGGTGGAAGTGCACCCTCAAAACTGGGGTGCTTTAACCTTAGCAGCCAGAGAACCACGTAGGGGATGTGTAAAAAATGTGCATCCCTGGGCCCCTTCAAACCTTTGACCCACTGTCCTCTGAGCAGACAACCCCTTATCCTCCCAGCCCCAGAGAGAGCCCTGCCCAGAGTCCACGGTTAGTTTTTTTAAAGTCTGTTCCATCTAGTTAAGAAAGGACAGTGGTACAGACCCACTTACTAGGCATCACCAGAGTCCCAGCATCTGAGTCACAGGAAATCACCCTCTGAGTCTGACATGCACTTGAATTAATTGGCATACTGCCTGGCACACAGAGGGAATCTAGATGTGGAATGGATATGGGTGGTGTTACACGCCACATGTTTGCCTGCCCTCCAAATTCATATGCAGAAATCCTAACTCTCAAAGTGATGACATTTAAGTCATTAGTCATGCAAGTGGAGCCCTGTGGGATTAAGAGGTGACAGGAGAGCTTGCTGTCATTCTCTGCTCCCCACTGTGTGAGGATACAACAGGAAGACAGCCGTCTGGTGAGGAAGAGAGGGCCGTCGCCAGATACCGGACCTGCTGACACCTTAATCTTGGACTTTCCAGCCTCCAGGACGGTGAGAAATAAATGCTTGGTGTTTCAGCCACCTGGCCTATTCTGTTGTGGCAGCCTGAACTGGCTAAGGTAGCGGAGTCTGATGATGAAATGGGAGAGGTGTAAAAGTGAGGTGGGAAGGAGGACTACAAATACTAACTTTTTAGAGGAAACCTTGTGCAAAAAGTGGCTTGAGAAGTTTGAAAATGACACAAAACTTTGTTCTAAGACAAATTTTCAGAATTCAAAACTTAGAGCCCCAAGACTTTTCCCAATGATAGACTTGACTTTCCTTGAGGTCTTAGCCCCAGTAGGATGGCTGGGCTCTGTTATAAAACCCATCTGTTATGGTAGACCATTTGCTGCCTGTTCACAGCTAGTTTAATGAATATTGGGGTGTGCTTGGTAAGAGAAAATGTCAACCGTTTAAGAGGAAAGAGTTTGAATGGGTTAGGGATATGGGAGAGGGGAGAAGGGAGATGGGAGAAAATACAGGAATGGGGAGGGGGTACCAGAAAGAAAGGGAACAGTAAAAGAGGCAAGGAAGAGAAGGGAAGAGGAAATTGGAGGAAGGGAGAAGGAGCTCACATAACCTCCAGCCATCCTGCTCACACCAGAAGGGTTTTTTGCCAGGGCCATGGGGATGGCAGAGGAGAGTTTATTCAAAGTTAATTTTGTTTTTAAATGTCTTCTTTCAGTTTTCAATAAGCAATTATATTCTGAATACTTGGAAAACACTCCCTTCACAAAATTGTTATTTAATGTGGTCTCTACAGGCCTGCCCTCAGTTGTTCCAGGGTAAAGAATTGGGGCAGTGCCCACACCCACGCTGTTGGACATTTCACCATACCAGTGAGGGTGTTTGTGTCCACGCCCAGCTTCCTGCCTGTTACTCTCCACAATGTGCCAAGAATGCCCCTGACTTGTAGCCCGGTGCGCCTTCTTTTGCTTCTACTGTTGCTACTAACAGCCTTGGAGATCATGGTTGGTGAGTGTCCTGAGATCTCAAGACCTGGCTGAGGACAAGAAGGAGGAGGGAGAAAGGTGGGGGATAGGCGACTGGGGTCTCATGCAGGCTTCAGGCAAGCCAGTACCTGCTCTTAAGGATGATGTGAGGGAGAGGATCCCTGGGATGTTACCCCCAGTTCATGGGAGACCCTAGCCGGAGGCCCTAGGCCAGGCACGGGCTCACCTGTGGCAGTTCTATAATGCTACCCCCCACCTTCTACTCCAGGACTCTTTCCTGAATGCCCGGGACCCCGGAGGAATTCAGCGTGTGTCCCGTGATAAATACCTCTTTTTCCTTTCTATTGAATGTCCTGTGTGTTCAGCTAGATTTTAAGTCTCAGGAGGTCACACAGAGGTTTGTCTGTTTTGTGCCTCGGAACTTGGTAGATGTTGCTAAAAGTATTTGTGACATGAATCCTCCTGTTAACACCATTAACACTAAGTACACCCCAGGGGTCCCCGGTACCATCAAGTATCTCACCCCAGACAGTCAGGGGGAGATGGGAGCAGGGATCTGGAGGGTTGAGGGAGTCTGGGATGGAACTGCCCCCCTCTGCCAGCCTGGCCTGGTCCAGGGAGTCTTGGGTCACAGAAGCGCGGGTTCTAATGGGCCTCTTCCTCTGTCCTGGACCTCACCTGCATCTTTCTCTCACAGGTGCTCACTCTCTTTGCTTCAACTTCACTATAAAATCATGGTCCAGACCTGGACAGCCCTGGTGTGAAGCACAGGTCTTCATGAATAAAAATCTTTTCCTTCAGTACGACAGTGACAGCAACATGGTCAAGCCTCTGGGTCTCCTGGGGAAGAAGGTAAATGCCACCAGCACATGGGGAGAATTGACCCAAACGCTGGGAGAAGTGGGCCGAGACCTCAGGATGCTCCTTCTTGACGTCAAACCCCAGATAAAGACCAGTGGTAAGTGTGGAATGGGGTGGGGAAACGGAGGCAGGCAGCAAGAGAGGGGAGGGAAGAGCACAGGTGGGGAGGAGCTTTAGGTGTATTTGTGTATTGATCATTGGCCCAACCATAGACACACATGGGACCCAACGGGCGGGAAAGGGCAAGTCCGGGCAGAAAGAGTACAGGCCCCTAAATATGTAGAGAAACACTTGACCTATTGGAAGACGATGGACCTCTCAAGAGTGGAGGATGATGGCTTTGTGTCTGGATTGCAGGTCCTTCCACTCTGCAGGTCGAGATGCTTTGTCAGCGTGAAGCAGAACGATGCACTGGTGCGTCCTGGCAGTTTGCCATCAATGGAGAGAAATGCCTCCTCTTTGACGCAATGAACATGACCTGGACAGTAATTAATCATGAAGCCCGCAAGATCAAGGAGACATGGAAGAAAGACAGAGGGCTGGAAAAGTATTTCAGGAAGCTGTCAGTGGGAGACTGCAATCACTGGCTTAGGGAATTCTTAGGGCACCGGGAGGCGATGCCAGAACCGACAGGTAACTAAGCCGGGAGGGAGAATGAGGCAGCTCTCTTTAAAGGTCAAAAGCCTTCCCTGTGTGGGTGTCAGCATGTGTGCAATAGAAAATTTGATTGACTTCTCCGTGGGCTTCTTCACTGGAGAGTCAGTGACGGCCATGAGGATTTCCCACCATCCTCCCTTTCCCATCCCACCTCCCACTGTTTCTTCCTCAGTATAGAAACCCCTTCCCATTAACTAATGATCTAGTCACCAATGACCCACCACTAAATGGTTCCAAGTCTATCTGCGTCATTGCAAACATCCAGGTCTTCTCTTCCTCTATTATAATTACCCTTCCACCAACTTTAATGACACTTCTTAGGAAATTCCCCACACAGAATTGAGCAAGACCCATTGTGTCATCCTCCAAACAGTTCTAACCACAGTAATCATCTGAAATTGTGTGGTAATCAGATGGACATTTGCTACCTCTCTCAGCAGATATCTGAGCTCCATAAGGACAAGGCACAACCCCATTCATCTTCATGGCCCAGGGCCTGGTAGAGTGGCTGTCACATGAGCCAGTGATTATGTGGGGCACTCTGTGTTCCTGGGGAAAGCAGGGGCTGAGGAAAGCGTATTTTTAGGTGTCACAGGGCTTGTGCTTTGTTGTTGTTGTTGTTTAGTGTCACCAGTAAATGCTTCAGATATCCATGGATCTTCCTCTAGCCTACCAGATACATGGATCATCCTGGGGGCATTCATCTTGACAGTCTTAATGGGAAATTTTCTCATCTACTTCATGTAGGGAAAAGAAAGAGAGATCAGACTGCTATCGTGTCTATGTAGAAAGGGAAAACATAAGAAACTCCATTTTGACCTTTACCCTGAACAACTGCTTTGCTCTGAGATGCTGTTAATCTGTAACTTTGCCCCAACCTTGAGCTCACAGAAACCTGGGTTGTATGGAATCGAGGTTTAAGGGATCTAGGGCTGTGCAGGATGTGCCTTGTTAACAAAATGTTTACAGATAGTATGCTTGGTAAAAGTCATCGCCATTCTCCAGTCTGGATAAACCAGGGGCACAATGCACTGTGAAAAGCCGCAGGGACCTCTGCCCTGGAAAGCCAGGTATCACCCAAGGTTTCTCCCCATGTGATAGCCTGAGATATGGCTTCGTGGGATGGGAAAGACCTGACCGTCCCCCAGTCCGACACCCATGAAGGGTCTGTGCTGAGGAGGATTAGTAAAAGAGGAAAGCCTCTTGCAGTTGAGCTAGAGGAAGGCCACTGTCTCCTGCCTGACCCTGGGAATGGAGTGTCTCGGTATAAAACCCGATTGTACATTTGTTCTATTCTGAGATAGGAGAAAAACCACCCTATGGCAGGAGGTGAGACATGTTGGCAGCAATGCTGCTTTGTTATGCTTTACTCCACTGAGATGTTTGGGTGGAGAGAAGCATAAATCTGGCCTACGTGCATATCCAAGCATAGTACCTTCCCTTGAACTTATTTGTGACACAGATTCCTTTGCTCACATGTTTCCTTGCTGACCTTCTCCCCACTATCACCCTGCTCTCCTTCCGCATTCCTCTTGCTGAGAGTGAAAATACTAATCAATAAATACTGAGGGAACTCAGAGACTGATGCCGGTGAGGGTCCTCTGTATGCTGAGCGCCGGTCCCCTGGGCCCACTGTTGTTTCTCTATTCTTTGTCTCTGTGTCTTTTTTCTTTTCTCAGTCTCTTGTCCCACCTGACAAGATATACCCACAGGTGTGGAGGGGCTGGTCCCCTTCATCTGCCGCCCAATGTGGGTGCCTTTCTCTAGGGTGGAGATACGCTAAGAATGTGAGCATTGAGGACAGTCGACGAGATTCCCGAGTACGTCCACAGTCAGGTCAGCCTTGCGGCAAGCTTGTGCGCTAGGAGGAACCCGGGGTAACAATGGGACAAACTGAAAGTAAATATGCCTCTTATCTCAGCGTCATTAAAATTCTTTTAAGAAAAGGGAGAGTTAAAGCTTCTACAGAAAATCTAATTACACTATTTCCAAAAATAGGACAATTCTGCCCATGGTTTCCAGAACAGAGAACTTTAGATCCAACAGATTGGGAAAAAATTGGCAAAGAATTAAAACAAGCAAGTAGGGAAGGTAAAATCATCCCACTTACAGTATGGAATGATTGGGCCATTATTAAAGCAAATTTAGAACCGTTTCAAATAGAAGAAGATAGTGTTTCAGTTTCTGATGCCTCTGAAAGCTGTGTAATAGATTCTGAAGAAGAGGCAGGGATAGAATCCCAGAAAGGAATGGAAAGTTCACACTATAAAAATGTAGCAGAGTCTGTAATGGCTCGGTCAACGCAAAATGTTGACTATAATCAATTACAGGAGTTAATATATCCTGAATCATCAAAACTGGGGGAAGGAAGTCCAGAATTACTGGGGCCATCAGAGCCTAAACCACAATGGCCATCAACTCCTCCTCCCGCGGTTCAGATGCCTGTAACGTTACAACCTCAAATGCAAGTTAGACAAGTGCAAACCCCAAGAGAATATCAGTAGAAAAGGATAGTCTTTATCTCTAATTCTATCTAAAGGATAGAATCCGGCAATGCCGATTCAGATACAGTATCCACAATATTAGCTGGTAGAAAACAAGACCTAACCACCAGTAGTTTATCCATACCAGCTGCCAGCCGAGTTTCAGTATTGGTCGCCTCCAGAGATTCAGTACAGACCTCAAGCAGTGTGTCCGGTGCCAATAGCATGGCACCATGCCAGCAATCCACGGCAGTGGTGTTTAATCCTACATCACCACCTAGTGGACAAGGTGGTACACTGCATGAAATCATTGATAAAGCCAGAAAACGGAGATCTTGAGGCATGGCAGTTCCCGGTAATTTTACAACTGATACGGATACAGGCCGGGGAAAGGGAGTCAAGCAGGAGCATCTGTCCGAACTGAAGCTAGATATGGATCTTTCACCATGAAAATGTTAAAAGGTATGAAGGAAGGAGTTAAACAATATGAACCCAACTCCCCTTATATGATAACATTATTAGATTCCCTTCCTCATGGAAATAGACTTATTCCTTATGATTGGGAAAATTTGGCTAAATCTTCCCTTTCACCCTCTCAGTTTCTACAGTTTGAAACCTCGTAGACTGATGGAGTACAAGAACAGGTACAAAAAAATCAGGCTACTTATCCTGCTGTTAATATAGATGCAGACCAATCGCTAGGAACAGGTCCAAATTGGAGCACCATTAACCAACAATCAGTGATGCAGAATGAGGCTATTGAACAACTAAGGGCTATTTGCCTCGGGGCCTGGGGAAAAATTCAAGACCCAGGAACCACCTACCTTTCTTTTAGTTCAATCAGACAAGGCTCTAAAGAGCCATATCCAGACTTTGTGGCAAGGTTGCAAGATGCCACTCAAAAATCTATTACAGAACATAACGCCTGAAAAGTGATTGTGGAAATAATGGCCTATGAAAATGCAAATCCAGAATGTCAATTGGCCATAAAGCCATTAAAAGGAAAAGTTCCAGCAGGAGTTGATGTAATTACAGAATATGTGAAGGTTTGTAATGGGATTGGAGGAGCTATGCATAAGGCAATGCTAATGGCCCAAGTAATGCTTTAGGAGGACAAGTTAGAACACTTAGGGGAAAATGTTATAATTGTGGTCAAATCGGTCATCTAAAAAAGAATTGCGCAGTCTTAAATAAACAGAGTAAAAATAAAGAGCCACCCGGCCTGTGTCCAAGATGTGGAAAAGGAAAACATTGGGCTAATCAATGTCATTCTAAATTTGATAAAAATGGGCAACCATTGTTGAGAAACGGGAAGAGGGGCCAGCCTCAGGCACCGCGGGCCCGCAACAAACTGGGGCATTCCCAACTCAGCCGTTTGTTCCTCAGGGTTTTCAGGGACAGCAACCCCCACAGGAAATACCACCACTTCAGGGAGTCAGCCAATTGCAACAATACAGCAGCTGTCCCCCCACCACAGCAGGTAGCGCAGCAGATCTATGTTCCACTCAAATAGTTTCTTTACTTCCTGGAGAGCCCCCGCAAAAGATTCCTACAAGGGTATAAGGCCCGCTGCCAGAAGGGACGGTAAGCCTTATTTTAGGGAGATCAAGTCAAAATTTGAAGGGAGTCCAAATTCATACTGGGGTAATTGATTCAGATTATAAAGGAGAAATTCAGTTAGTGATCAGCTGTTCCCTGGAGTGCCAATCCAGGGGATAGAATTGCTCACTTACTGCTTTTGCCTTATATTAAAATTGGAGAAAACAAACCAGAAAGAACAGGAGGGTTTGGAAGTACCAACCCTGCTGGAAAAGCCGCTTATTGGGCTAGTCAGGTCTCAGAGAACAGACCTGTGCGTACAGTCACTATTCAGGGAAAGCAGTTTGAAGGAGTAGTGGATACCAGGGCTGATGTTTCTATCATCACCTTTAATCAATGGCCAAAAAATTGGCCTAAACAAAAGCCTGTTACAGGATTTGTCAGTGTGGGCACCGCCTCAGAAGTGTATCAAAGTGCCATGATTTTACATTGTCTAGGACCTCATAATCAAGAGAGTACAGTTCAACCTGTGATCACTTCTATTCCAATTAATTTATGGGGCCAAGACGTGTTACAACAATGGCATGCAGAGATTACTATCTCAGCCTCCCTATACAGCCCCACGAGTCAAAAAGTCATGACTAAAATGGGATATCTCCCTGGCAAAGGACTAGGGAAGAATGGAGATGGCATTAAAGTCCCAATTGAGGCTGAGGGAAATCAAGAAAGAAAAGGAGTAGGGTATCCTTTTTAGGAGTGGCCACTGTAGAGCCTCCAAAACCCATTCCATTAACTTGGAAAACAGAAAAACCTTTATTGGTAAATCAGTGGCTGCTACCAAAACAAAAGCTGGAGGCTTTACACTTATTGGCAAAGGAACAATTAGAAAAGGGACATACTGAGCCTTCATTTTCGCCTTGGAAGTCTCCTGTGTTTGCAATTCAGAAAAATTCCAGCAGACGGCGCATGCTGATCGACTTAAGAGCTGTTAATGCCATAATTCAACCCATGGAAGCCCTCCAAGCCGGATTGCCCTCTCCTGGCTATGATCCCCAAAGACTGGCCTTTCATTATTACTGATCTGAAGGATTGCTTTTTTACCATTCCTCTGGAAAAACAGGATTTTGAAAAATTTGTTTGTACTATACCAGCTATAAATAATAAAGAACCAGCCACCAGGTGTCAGTGGAAAGTGTTGCCTCAGGGAATGCTAAATAGTCCGACTATTTGTCAGACTTTTGTAGCTCAAGCTCTTCAACCAGTTAGAGACAAGTTTTCAGACTGTCATATCATTCATTATGTTGATGATATTCTGTGTGCTGCAGAAACGCGAGACAAATTAATTGACTGTTACACATTTCTGCAGACAGAGGTTGCAAATGCAGGACTGACGATAGCATCTGATAAGATTCAAACCTCTGCTCCTTTCCATTACTTGGGAATACAGGTAGAGGAAAGGAAAATTAAACCACAAAAAATAGATATAAGAAAAGACACATTAAAAACATTAAATAACTTTCAAAAATTGCTAAGAGATATTAATTGGATTTGGTCAACTCTACGCATCCCTACTTATGCCATGTCAACTTTGTTCTCTATCTTGGGAGGGGGTCCAGAATTGAATAGCAAAAGAGCATTAACTCCAGAGGCAACTAAAGAAATTGAATTAGTTGAAGAAAAAATTCGGTCAGCAGAAGTAAATAGAATAGATCACTTAGCCCCCCTCCAACTTTTGATTTTTGCTACTGCACATTCTCCAACAGGCATTATTGTCTTGTGGAGTGATCCTTCCTCACAGTACGATTAAGACTTTTACATTGTACTTGGATCAATTGGCTACATTACTTGGTCAGGCAAGATTACAAATAGTAAAATTGTGTGGAAGTGACCCAGATAAAAATCATTGTTCCTTTACACAAGGAACAGGTTAGACAAGCCTTTATCAATTCTACTGCATGGCAGATTGGTCTTGCTGATTTTGTGGGAATTATTGACATTCATTACCCAAAAACAAAAATCTTCCAGTTTTTAAAATTGACCACTTGGATTTTACCTAAAATTACTAGACATAAACCTTTAGAAAATGCTCTGACAGTGCATTGGAAATGCACCCAGCAATGGAAACACGGCTTACATCAGGCCAAAAGAACGAGTCATTGAAACTCAATGTTTGGTTGCTGTCATTTCAGTGTTACAAGATTTTAATCAGCCTATTAACATTGTATCAGATTCTGCATATGTAGTATAGGCTATGAAGGATGTTGAGACAGCCCTAATCAAATATAGTATGATCAGTTAAACCAGCTGTTTAATTTGTTACAACAAACTGTAAGAAAAAGAAATTTCCCATTTTATATTACTCATGTTCGAGCACATACTAATTCACCAGGGCCTTTAAAGCAAATGAACAAGCTGACTTGCTGGTGTTACCCGCCTTCATGGAAGCACAAGAACTTCACGCCCTGACTCATGTAAATGCAACAGGACTAAAAAATAAATTTGATATCACATTAAAACAGGCAAAAAACATTGTGCAACATTGCACTCAGTGTCAAGTCCTACACCTGCCCACTCAGGAGGCAGAAGTTAATCCCAGAGGTCTATGTCCTAATGTGCTAGGCAAATGGATGTCACACATGTACCTTCATTTGGAAAATTGTCATTTGTCCATGTGACAGTTGATACTTATTCACATTTTGTATGGGCAACCTGCCAGACAGGTACTTCCCATGTTAAAAGACATGTATTATCTTGTTTTGCTGTCATGGAAGTTCCAGAAAAAATTAAAGCAGATAATGGGCCAGTATACTATAATTAAACATTTCAAAAATTCTTAAATGTGTGGAAAATTACACATACCATAGGAATCCCTTATAATTCCCAAGGACAGGCCATAATTGAAAGAACTAACAGAACACTCAAAGGTCAATTGGTTAAACAAAAAAAGGAAAAAGACAGCAAGGAGTATAACACTCCCCAGATGCAACTTAATCTAGCACTCTACATTTTAAACTTTTTAAACATTTCTAGAAATCAGACCACTACTTCTGCAGAACATTTCACTGGTAAAAAGAACAGCCTACATGAAGGAAAACTGATTTGGTGGAAAGACATCAAAAATAAGACATGGGAAATAGGGAAGGTGATAACATGGGGAGAGGCTTTGCTTGTGCTTCACCAGGAGAAAATCAGCTTCCTGTTTGGATACCCACTAGACATTTAAAGTTCTACGATGAACCCATCAGAGATGTGAAGAAAAGTGCCTCCGTGGAGACAGAAAACCCGCAATCGAGCATCATCAACTCGCCAGGTGAACAAAATGGTGATATCAGAAGAACGAATGAAGTTGCCATCCACCAAGGAAGTGGAGTCGCCGACCTGGGGCCAACTAAAGTCGCTGACACAGTTAGCTGAAAAAAGCCTGACGAAAACAAGGGTCACGCACACTCCAGAGAACATGCTGCTTGCAGCTTTGATGATTGTATCAACGGTGGTAAGTCTCCCTGTGACTGCCAGAGCAGCTGCAGCTAATTACACTTACTGGGCCTATGTGCCTTTCCTGCCCTTAATTCAGGCAGTCACTTGGATGGATAATCCTATTGAAGTATATGTTAATAATAGTGCATGGGCACCAGGCCCCACAGGTGATCGTGGCCCTGCCCAACCTGAAGAAGAAGGAATGATGATGATTATTTCCATTGGGTATTATTATCCTCCTATTTGCCTAGAGAAGGTACCAGGATATTTAATGCCTATAACCCAGAATTGGTTGGTAGAAGCACCTACTGTCAGTGCCACCAGTAGATTTACTTATCACATGGTAAGTGGAATGTCACTCGGGCCACAGATAAATAATTTACAGGATTTTTCTTATCAAAGATCATTAAAAATTAGGCCTAAGGGGAAGCCTTGCCCCAAGGAAATTCCCAAAGGATCAAAAGGCCCAGAAGTCTTAGTTTGGGAAGAATATGTGGCTGATACTGCGGTGGTATTACAAAACAATGAATTTGGAACTATTATGGACTGGGCCCCTTGAGGCCAATTATATTATGATTGTACGGGCCAGACCCACTCATGTTCACAGGCCCCATCCGTCTGGCCCACTAATCAGGACTATGATAGTGATTTAACTGAAAGGCTGGACCAGGTTTATAGAAGGTTAGAATCACCCTATCCATGGAAATGGAGTGAAAAGGGAATCTCATCACCTCGACCAAAGTCAGTTAGTCCTGTTACTGGTCCTGAACATCCAGAATTATGAAAGTTTACTGTGGCCTCGCACCACGTTAGAATTTGGTCTGGAAATCAAGCTATAGGAACAAGAGATCCTAAGCCATATTATACTATTAACCTAAATTCCAATCTGACAATTCCTTTGCAAGATTGTGTAAAACCTCCGTATATGTTAGCTGTAGGAAACATACTTATTAAACCAGATTCCCAAACTATAACCTGTGAAAATTGTAGATTGTTTACTTGCATTGATTCGACTTTTGATTGGCAGCACCGTATTCTACTAGTGAGGGCAAGAGAGGGCGTGTGGATCCCTGTGTCCATGGACTGACCGTGGGAGAGGCTTCCCCATCCGTCCATATTTTAACAGAAGTATTAAAAGGAGTTCTAACTAGATCCAAAAGATTCATTTTTACTTTGATTGCAGTGATTATGGGTCTTATTGCAGTCACAGCTACTGCTGCGGCTGCTGGAATTGCTTTACACTGCTGTGTTCAAACTGCAGAATATGTAAATAATTGGTAAAAGAATTCCTCAAAATTGTGGAATTTTCAGACCCAAATAGATCAAAAATTGGCAAACCAAATTAATGATCTTAGACCAGCTGTCATTTGGATGGGAGAAGGCTCATGGGCTTGGAACATCATTTTCAGTTACAGTGTGACTGGAATATGTCAGATTTTTGTATTATACCCGAGCCTACAATGAGTCTGAGCATCAATGGGACATGGTTAGACACCATCTACAAGGAAGAAAAGATAATCTTACTTTAGATATTTCAAAATTAAAAGAAGAAATTTTTGAGGCATCTAAAGCCCATTTAAATCTGGTGCCAGAAACTGAGGCAATCATGAAAGCTGCTGATGGCCTCACAAATCTTAACCCGGTCACGTGGGTTAAAACTATCGGAAGTTCCACTATTATAAATTTCATATTAATCATTGTATGTCTGTTCTGTCTGTTGTTAGTCTGCCAGTGTATCCAGCAGCTCCGAAGAGACAGCGACCAGTGAGAACGGGCCATGATGACGATGGTAGTTTTGTCAAAAAGAAAAGGGGGATATGTAGGGAAAAGAAAGAGCGATCAGACTGTGATTGTGTCTATGTAGAAAAGGAAGACATAAGAAACTCCGTTTTGACCTTTACCCTGAACAACTGCTTTGCCCTGAGATGCTGTTAATCTGTAACTTTGCCCCAACCTTGAGCTCACAGAAACCTGGGTTGTATGGAATCGAGGTTTAAGGGATCTAGGGCTGTGCAGGATGTGCCTTGTTAACAAAATGTTTACAGGTAGTATGCTTGGTAAAAGTCATCGCCATTCTCCAGTCTGGATAAACCAGGGGCACAATGCACTGTGAAAAGCCACAGGGACCTCTGTCCTGGAAAGCCAGGTATCGCCCAAGGTTTCTCCCCATGTGATAGCCTGAGATATGGCTTCGTGGGATGGGAAAGACCTGACCGTCCCCCAGTCCGACACCCATGAAGGGTCTGTGTGAGGAGGATTAGTAAAAGAGGAAAGCCTCTTGCAGTTGAGATAGAGGAAGGCCACTGTCTCCTGCCTGACCCTGGGAATGGAGTGTCTCGGTATAAAACCCGATTGTACATTTGTTCTATTCCGAGATAGGAGAAACACCGCCCTATGGCAGGAGGCGAGACATGTTGGCAGCAATGCTGCTTTGTTATGCTTTACTCCACTGAGATGTTTGGGTGGAGAGAAGCATAAATCTGGCCTATGTGCACATCCAAGCATAGTACCTTCCCTTGAACTTATTTGTGACACAGATTCCTTTGCTCACATGTTTCCTTGCTGACCTTCTGCCTACTATCACCCTGCTCTCCTTCCGCATTCCTCTTGCTGAGAGTGAAAATACTAATCAATAAATACTGAGGGAACTCAGAGACCCGTGCTGGTGCGGTCCCCTGGGCCCACTGTTCTTTCTCTATACTTTGTCTCTGTGTCTTTTTTCTTTTCTCAGTCTCTTGTCTCACCTGACGAGATATACCCACAGGTGTGGAGGGGCTGGCCCCCTTCAACATCAGGTGGCAAAAAGGTGAGTGGTAGGCTGGTCTCTGGCCCTTGAGGATGTCTTAGTCTGGTAAGGACTTGAGAGAGGTGAGCCATGTGTCTCACCCAAGCCCCCTCCCCGATCCATCTCCCTCCATAGAAATGGTGCACTGCCTTAGTCTTGAGCCCCCACACTACACAGCAGGGCTGGCAGCACAAACGTGCAGTGAGAGGAGGGACAAAGCAAACAACTCCTCCTGAGGAGGGGCAAGGTCCAAGATCTGGAACACCTGCCTGGGGTGTTGTCTCCTCGCCAACCAGCCCAGGGTTCCCCCAGCCCTTTGATGGAAAGTTTGTTTGCAGTCTGCGTTTAGCAGACTTAGCTCAGCAAGGTTCCATCCCCTTTTCCCGTTCACCCTGAGAAGACTTGCTGGGGCACTTGCGGCTGCAGCATTTACTCCCAGATAACACACAAGGTGTGGTATAAGAAATCCTTTCACCACCCTCTAACCATTACAGCTCTGAACTCCTGCAACCTGTTCAAGAAGGATAATCCCAGCACATGATTAGCCATGTAAATTTCAGACTCACGTTGATTGAAAGAATGCTGGAAAAGCACCACTGCCGGGGCGGCAACGTCTTCGAGGTCGCCTGTGCTCCGATGGCGTCACACCCCTTGGCCTATCTAGAGGTTTTTTTTTTTTTTTTAAATACATTCCTCAAGCATTTATTGGGCACCTACTATGTGTCAGGCACTGTTCTAGGTACCTGGGATACATCAGGGATTCTTGCTGTCCCGAGGTCAGAGATGAGGAATTCCACAGGATGAGTCTTCTGTTCTTAAATCCAGTGTAAAGACAAGGCCGTCGGGGAGGAGGGAGTAAGATCTGGGCATCAGAGTCCCCCAGCTGCTGCTCGTGGGGGTGAGGACACCAGGCCCCTGACTGTGCTCTGGCCTCTCTCCCAGCTCCCTGCCCAGGCCCACAGCTATGGCCATGGCCCAGGAGCTCAGCCACCTCCTGCCCAGTCTGCGGCAGGCCATCCAGGAGCCTCAGCCACCTCTGCAGCCCGAGCCTGTCTTCACCATGGACAGAGCCAAGGTACCGCCCCTTTTCTGGAAGCTGTACATCTACACGGGCTACCGGCCACTACATCGGACCTGGCGCTTCCTGGCGCTTCTATTTCCGCATGCGGTTCAGCCGCTGCTGCTGCGGCTGGCCCTCTTTGTGGGGACCATGGACTTCTGGGGAGACACACACGCCCTGCCCCTCTTCATCACTGTCCTCGCCTCTTTCACCCACCTCTCCTTCAGTGCCTTGGCTCACCTCCTGCAGGCCAAGTCCGAGTTTTCAAAAAAATACATCGAGCGGACTATTTAAGATTTTTGCATTACGTGTAGTAAGGTTGTCACATTTCAACAAAAAAAATTTTAGAAAACTAAGTAGAGGTTTCAGTTTTCATTATTGTTTTGACAAACTGGTGGCACTCCCCGTCAGGTAGGTACTCAGTAATGGATTAAATTAGAAATACATTATGTATTTTTTTCTGGTGAGAATCTGATACACAGATAAGCACACACATAGAAAGAACTTTTTTTTCTTTTTTAGACGGAGTTTCCCTCTTGTTGCCCAGGCTGGAGTGCAGTGGGGACAGCTCAGCTCACAGCAACTTCCGCGTCCTGGGTTCAAGCGATTCTCCTGCTTCAGCCTCCGGAGTAGCTGGGATTACAGGTGTGCGCCATCATGCCTGGCTAATTTTACATTTTTAGTAGAGACAGGGTTTCTTCATGTTGCTCAGGCTGATCTCGAACTCCACAGGCAGAGGAAGTGAGAAGGAGCTGAGAGATGGAACCAAGAGACAAACATTTGCAGCTCCCAGCCTGATTCTGCTCTGTGCCAGCACCTGCAATGGGCATTGTGGGGGTGTTAGCCGAGGCCAGCTGGACAGCGCCCTGCCCCACCTTCAGGAGCCAATGATGGAGCATTCTAGAGCCTTCACAGAGAACTGTGGTCATTGGGAGCGGAATGCACTAGGCACTAGAAGGAAGGTAGCCAACCCCAGGGGTCTGAGCTTCCAAAGGCTCTCTCTTGGGGTGTAGGGCAGTGCAGTAAGGGAAGGCCTGGCTACTTCCTTTACTACATCTGCAGAAGGAGAGATGATCAGAAAAGGCCAGAAGAGTAAGACATGTCCCAGGTACCCCATTCCCACTAGCAAAGCACTTGAAGACCCTTCCTTGTCCTCTCAGATAATTTTGATCCTCTAGTCTTTAAAACAGGAGTTATAACCTCCATTTTAAAATAGAAACTGAGGCCGGGCACAGTGGCTCACGCCTGTAATCCTAGCACTTTGGGGAGGTTGAGGCAGATGGATCACTTGAGGTCAGGAGTTTGAGACCAGCCTGGCCAACCTGGTGAAACTCCGTCTCTACTAAAAATACCACACACACACACACACACAAACACACACACAAATTAGCCAGGTATGGTGATGTATGCCTGTTATTTCAGCTACTTGGGAGGCTGAGGCATGAGAATCACCTGAACCCAGGAGGTGGAGGTTGCAGTGAGCCAACATCACGCCACTGCACTCCAGACTGGGCAAAAGAGCGATACTCTGTCTCAAAATAATAAGCTGCAATAAAATAGAAACTGAGGCCCAGAGAGGTAATGAGCTTTGCCAGAAGACACAGCCAGTGAAGAGCATCACAGAGAAGCTGTGTCTCCCAGCTCCTTGTCCAGTTGTGTGGAGACCCTTGGTTTATGCTGGAGGTGGCAGAATTTTGAGGAAGCTGAATGGGTTCTGACCCCCTCTCTCCCCAGTGGGCAGCTGCACGTGGCCAGGCACAGCTCCAGCCCCAAGGTGGCTGGTGGGCAAGCGGAGGCTCTCTGGAACGTGTGTTTCCACTTCACTGGAGATGGGAACTAATAGCTGAAAATCCTATGAAGCTGCTAATGGGCTAATGGAGAAAGTGTTTATTTTTCGAAGGAGGCCTGTGAGGATCTGGGGCAGGCCCAGTGTGAGGCCACGGAGGCGGGAGGTCAGTCCACTGTTAACAGGGATTAAGCAGACATCGTGGGATGAGGTGGTTTCCAGAGCAGAGGCTGAAGGCAGGGCGTGGTCTGGTGCTCTCAACGTCTGCTCTCCCTTGGGACAGTAAAGCTGGACCCGAGGACTCCAATCACTTCTAGGTAGGGGGCTCCATGCTCCACGCTTTCCTCTACATCTGCTTCCTTCTATCCTGCCCAAGGTGCAGGCGCCTGGGGGGTGGGAGTGGGGGTTATCACATGGGTCTCCTGTCTCCAAGCAGTGTGACCCTGGCAGCTTCCTGAGGGATATCTGGGTAGCTGCCTCCCCCCATGCACAACTCTGGGAGGGAGGTGGTTCATATTGCACCTTCGGCTAGAGCCGCAACCACCCCTGGGAAGCTAGTTCTCGTCAAGAAATGTCTTCGTGAGCAAGGCACAATGGGTCTGCCCTCTCCTGTCCCCATTAGGCAGCCAGCTGTCTCTCCAACAGATAGCACTGCTCTTGGACCTCCCAGCCCTAGCCCACTTGGAAGCCCCTATTAAGCTTGAGGGCAAGAAGTCCCTTAGCAGACCTGCAGTGCGGTGGCTCTCAGGCTGTGGGTGTGAGAGAGGCACTCAGGGGCATACGGGAGGCTAAGCAGGCAGGACCCCAGGCTCCCCTGCTCCAGCCAGTGCAGTCCCGCCTTATTTTACATATTGACATTCCTCACATTTCTCTCCAAATACTAAGGTTTCTACTTCTTAAAAAATAAAAATAGGCCAGGCATGGTGGTGCACGCCTGTAATCCCAGCACTTTGGGAGGCCAAGACAGGTGGATCACCTGAGGTCAGGAGTTCAAGACCAGCCTAGCCAACATGGTAAAACCCCGTCTCTACTAAAAATACAAAAATTAGCTGGGCGTGGTGGCACACGCCTGTAATCCCAGCTACTTGGGAGGCTAAGGCAGGAGCATCCCTTGAACCCAGGAGGTGGAGGTTGCAGTGAGCCAAGATCGCACCACTGCACTCCAGCTGGGTGACAAGAGCGAAGCTCTGTCTCAAAAAAATAATAACATAAAAGTAAAAAGCATTTAAAAATCTTTGCTCTTTCCCACTCTATGGAGGTGAAATAACTCAGGACTCAGAGAGATGCGACTTGCCAAGTTCACACAGAGCTGGAACCTGGCTGCAAGTCACTGGCCTCCTGGCCAGAGGTGGTCCCACCACCTTCTGCTTAGAGTAACCAGTGAGACTTCAGGAAAACCAGAGAGAGGCTAGAAATGGTCCTTTAGGGAGTAGAGAGGTGGCAAGAATTTGGTTGGTGTTCCCGGAGCCCCTGGAAAGTTGTTTCATCTCTCTGGGCCCTGTATAAGGCCTGCATGGGAGAGATGGCATTGAACATTGAGGGTGAGGGCAGTGAGGATGGCAGGGACCTGTGTGCAGTTGGGCTGGAGGGCCCCTGCCTTTGAGGCTGACCCAGGCTGCAGATGAGGTCCTTCCTCCCTGCAGGGCAGCCCTGCTGGAGGCCTCTTCTTTCTGGCCTGCCCAATAGTGAGTAGCCCTGGCCCAGGCTGCAGGGTCCTTTGTTTGTCCAGGCCAGCCTGGGTGTCTTCTCTCAACCCAGCCCAGGAAGGCTAAGGGTCTGGAAACCCCAACCCTGCCTGCTTCTTCCAGTGTGCCTGGTAGGTATTCCAGGATTCCCGATGGACCTGCCATGCTCGAGGGTTGCCTGGCTGCTCATAACTTGAAAGCTCACCCTTCTTGGTTACCAGTGCCTCTCCGCTAGGAGAGCTCTTAAGTTTCAGATCAGAGGCAGGCCCTCTTTGTCAAGCCGTGTTTACTACAATTACATTGTATTTCCTTGGGAACATGCACTGGACATTTGTCAGTTCGATTTCCAACCTGCCCCTCATCCTCCTCACTCTCCTGTGCTGGTTCCTCGTGCCTTCTTTTCCTTGGGGAAGCAAGGGGAGGCATTTGGGGAGGACACCCCTCTGCCTCCATGCTGCTTGGCTCTGGGACAATTGGCCTAAGTTATTCCTGGAGACTTTA